ATCCGGAAAAAAGAAAAAAGAGTAAGCAGCTCAGACAGCCAGCCCTACGCATTTCAGACAATGCCAGAATAAAATTGTTGCGACTTTTCTTTTTTTGAAGTCCCTTGGGATGAGGATTCATTTGCTTAAAATGCGTTGTGTCGAAAAGCGTTCGGCCTTCAATGGGATGTCACAGACAGACTGTCTGGATTTTCATTTTTTATCATTGGAGACTTTGCCCCTGTCTGTTTGCATTTCAGCTATCGCCGGCTAAAACAATTTTCTCTTTTTCATAGTACTCGTCAGGAGCAGGCGGCGTTGTTGAAAGCATTTTGATGGATTAAAAGTTAAATGGCCTCGCCAAGTGCCCCACGGGAAATTTACCATTTTCAGTCACCGACTATTCAATCTATGATCCCTTCACCAATAAATATATAAATTAACCTGGAAATGATCGGCCATTGCACTGCATCAAAGTGCAAAGCTTATACAAAGCCGCTGCTGAAATTAATGCAATCGTACATTTTCATTTCAGAAGTGAGAACTTTTCATAAGCTACTGAAATAAAATCAAGCTAATGGATAAGTTATGCACTATAGTGTTTGAAAATTATATTAAAATATTATTTATATAAAATGCATTTTGTATACAAAAAAATAAATACATATTTCAAAAATTACTTGTATGTTAAAAGCAGATATAGGATAAAGCTTGCCTCTCTTTAAAGTCCCTATCGTACTAGTTCTTTTAAAAATGGATGCATAACATCATTTTAGTTAATCTAGTTGCTTCCAGTTATAGTTATTCTAGTTATGGACCAAGCACCTATCCTTTCTTGTTTTTAATAAGCGAATGATAATAATTTTCACACTTATCAGTTTTGAGTCTAAGCTTTAGAGTCTAAACCTAAAACCCTTTGATTTCAACCTTGGAATTTCCAAAATTCAGATAATGAGCATTGACTCTTGGTAAATTTCAGTTACGTCACTTGTCGGTAGGTTACGACAGTCCTCAAACTATTTATAATTTTATGAAGAGTTTTTATTTAATGCCCGAATTCCGCTTCGGCTGCAAAGTTTCAGCGTTGACAGCTCGGCAGCGGCAAAAAGTCGCTGGCTGGAGACTTCAGAGCTAGACTCTAGAGTGGTAAACTTTTGCGGTGATAAGCGTCGGGCAACTCGTCTTTTTGGCCATCCGTCGGGTCTGGTGGGTGGACCTTGGGTGGTGGGTGCAACCACTGCCGGTCCTGTGGCATCAGAGCTGCAGCAAGAACGTCGAGTGTATGCAACAGTTTTGAGCTTCCGCATTATGCCCAACTTGTTACTCGAGGAAGGCAAGTTTGATGCTGCTGTATGGGGTATTGTGCTGGTTTTGCATCTGTTTTGGCCTCTCGTATCATTTCTCGTCTGAATAGACACGTTATCTGAACACAATATGGCTTTAAGTGAACCAGACGAGGGCACGTCTGAATGTTGCTCCCCGTTTGAAACTCGGCGTGAATCCAATCTCAAGCTCAAGGCAACTCAACTCGTTAGCAGAGCAGAAGCACACAATGTCTTGTGATTCTTTTGTGATATTTTTTGTCTCTGGCTTTGACGTGCCATTGTGTCAAAATATCTGGGATCCCAAGTAGACGTTAGTGTCATATATGCAACACAAATGCACACACAGACACCTTTGGCCGCTTGAGCTTTGTCGGCAATTATCAGCTGCCACGTTCAGAACTAACATACTCGAATGCAAATTAATCAACGGAAATAAATCTAAATTAGAGCTCTTGACACCTGCACAACGCACCAGGCACCAGGCCATGCAGTTCAATTGAAAATTTCATTTCAACAAGTTGAAATAAGTTGGTCCTTGTGGTCGCAACAATGCAGTATTTTATGGCCCAAGAGCCGTTTATTTACCTGTATGGTAAATGCAACTGGGAACGAACATAAATTTGATTTGTTCGACAAGCCTAAAAGCAGTCATACACTTACCGAAATAAATGGGTGATATTAAGGGTGAGGCTTATGTAAATGTATTGCTTGTTAAGTATATCCTTTCAGTGCAAGAGGAAAAGTTACTGCTTGCCAATTCAGGAGCAAAGTTCAAGTTTTGCATTGGACTTTATTTCATTGGAGGACGCTAGGATCGACATAAATAATTCATGCTTGATAAATTAAACAATATACTAAGCAGCCATTTGTTATGCATAAAGTATGCGCCATGTGCGCCAGACTGTGACACACCCACACTGAGACACACACCCATACAGAGAGACAAAGCGGCGGAGGCTGTCGTTGCAACAAGCGACAATTGCAACGCCTGTGAAGCCCGAAAAGCGGAAACGGAAACGTGCATAGTGCATGCTATTTGCACAAATGCGGCCAGAAGAGGGGAAATTGTCTGGCCTTCCACTACCAGACTCTCATCCATTGTGTCTGCGATGGAGTGGTTGTTGTGGAGGGCATTTATTTATGGCCATTCGGAAGATGTTTCTTTCTAAGTGAACGTGTCCTCTTCAATTCATACTTTTCATCTAAGAAATAGAGAGCTTCTAATAATATATATTTTCAAAGTAAAATATAGCTCGAAATGCAATCTAGTTATATGTCAATTATGTGACACATTTAATTGAAATTCTAACAAAACTTGAAATGTATTATTCAATGTCTTTTTCTAGACAATATTTAACAGGAAGTTGGGAAACTTAGAAGTTAGAACTAAGCTCTCTTTTTTAGTCTTTATTATTAGAATAAGTCCTAATTCGGCCTTAATTCTTACAGGTTCCTACTGCACTAAGTGTAATTTTAATTTAGCACTACAATAAAAGCGGAGTCAACCCTCGAGAGTGACAGCATTCACATGCTGGGACCAAACCCCAGCTAACGAGATTTCCAACTAACCTTGACAATTACTCATAATCACTGCTGGTTGCACTAACCCCTGCCCCGGGGGACAGCTGCTGCTTGCCGCAGTGCAAACACAACAGTAATTATGTAATGAATAAAAGCCACATTTACCGTTGCAGTCAGAAAGGTAGTGTGGTAATGGAGTGGGGCTGGTGGAAAGGACCCTAAATGACGCTTGTCGTATATACCGCTCTTTTCAAATGGGATCCTAGGCGTCAGAGGCTATAATTGAAATGGAAATTACTGCAGTCGGTAGGCAGGCACTTTGAAAACTGTAGGGCCATGATCCCACTAGCTATAATACATTTGTATGGTGTACACAAGTACATATATCCTTCTAGTGTTACCAATTTGTGATTTAAGGTTTAATTTAGGGTTACATTTAAATTTATTCTCTACAAAACTTTCTTTAAAATTTAAAAAAAAAACCTCTTTTACAAAATTTTTTAGTTATTTGGCTACTTTCTGTCTTTAAGAAGATCCAAAGCCAAACCAACAACACTGATAACTACGTCGGCGAATGTAATTACGTATACGTCATGTGTTACATGGCAGCATAATTTAAGTTGAAATGTCTGCCAAAGCCCGGCCATATTTTGGCGAAGGCGAAAGGGAACAAAGTAGCACTCGTGACGAGCCATTTACTTGCGCTTTGTTGTTCATTGGGCGGAAGATTTTAATGATCCATCCAGAGACGTCGGGAGGAGTCAGAGTTGCAGGGCCCGCTGGCGTTTTCTGCCATTTCCTGCAGTCGATGCTGATTTAAATTAATTACTGCTAAATATTTGCACTGGCGCCGCCCAAATTGGCTCGACTGGCCACGGGAAACTAAAGTCAAAAGGCGAAAGTTGGTTGGTTGGCTGGCTGGCTGGCATGGTTGTCGGTTGGCTGGATGATGTTGGGATGGCGGGTAATCGATACACGTAACTCGAAGCTAGAGCGTCATAACAGACGCCTGGGAACAGGACAAAGACAAACAAAATTAATTTAATTTGCTCACACACGCTGCAGTGCCAATAGCGACTTTTGTGAGGCGTGTCTGTGTGCGAGTAGCTGGGATTACGTTGCAGGGAATTTAATGCAATTTAAAACGCATCAATTTTCCGTGATGCTGCAGCGGACATTTTCATGTCCTCGCAAAGGCAGAGAAAGGATTTTCCTCGCAGGCACACACGTGCTGCCGACAAATGCCATTAAAGCTGCAATAATAAAGCCGAATCACAGGGAGCAGATGCATCCTTCCGGTGCGACTGCATCTCCACGTACTTGTCGCATTAACTTCTGACGCTTGGCTCAACGCCTCCCCAGCAATAAGGATTTCCCAAGACTGCTGTGCTCTCGCTTAATTAATGGTAAATATTGCCTAGAGCCTCCAACACCAACACGCACTTGCCGCGAGCTGGAAATGTCCCTGAATTATACCGTGAAATCGCTGGTCCCGACTGTCACCGAAAGCCGGATAATAACTCAATTTGACTAACTCGATATCCACGAATATTGATCGAATAATGCACTTCTTTGGGGCTTTAAAATTAAGTTGCAGCGCTGCAAAGTTTTCGCCTTAAAGCTTCTTCAAGCCAAAGTATTCGCAGTGCCCTCAGGAATGTATTGTTTCAGCTGGGCAGTTAGGTCCGGGACTTTGGACTTTGCCGTTGTTGCATGCAACAACTTTGACTTGTCCGGAGACTTCATAAAATATTTCCGTGTTTGTGCCAAGTTGCTGAACAGCTTGCAAGAAAATCGCTGAGAAGCCAGAAATTACTCCGGCACTGTTTTCCTTTTTCATTTAGAAAATATTTACAAACCTTTGCCTCTATGTTCCATGATTCTTTATTGTGCAAAAATAATTTTTATTTATAGGATAACAGTAAATTTTCTATATCATTATAAACTCACTCCCAGCCTTGCCATTTAATAAACTAACAATTATTGGATTTTCAAGATTTTGAAACAATTAAAACTTGTAGGGAAACTATTCTGATTCTAATCATTACAAAGTGCAAAACTTTGTGTGGTAATAATTCTTTACTAAACTCAGAAATTTATTGCGACTTGACTTTGTTATTCAGGATTTGAATTTTGCTTTGGCATTGAATGGAAGGAGCTGGTGAGCAAAAATATAACTAAACATCAGTGAATTATCTAAAATCAATTAGGTTATTAGGCACTTGCACCAAAAAAAGATCATAGTTCCGGCGAATATTATCTGAAACAACTTGAGGGCCTCAAATCGGATGCCCAAATAATGGGTCTGAAGGCGCTCAGGGATACTTAAGAGATCTCGATGATTGGAAGTGGCCAAACCAAGATGACCCACATCGGCGGGTTCGTTTAGTCGAAACCAGCTGGGAATCTTCGAATCACAGAGGTACATTCCAGTGGGGCGCGGAACTGCTTCAGGCTGAGCCACGACCTGGCCATCAACGGACCGGGCACGCGGTCCTTCGCCCAGAAAGGGTATCATATCCTTGTGCAAAATGAGGAGATGGGAGCATCGTGGACACTTCGGATACCGGCTGTTGTGCAGGTTGGGCCACAAACAGATCCAGCAAAAGAGATGGCCACAAATAGTTATGACTCCGCCGCGTACGTACTGCGCGCAAAGATTACAAATATATGGCGCCAAGTGGGGGTTAGTCGGCCGACGATGCGCTTGCGGATGGGTCTCCATGTGGCGTCCACGCGATCTATCCACAGCCATCATGGCATCTCCGGCCCCCATGTTTAAAGTTACAATACCTTTGCGAAAATTTAATACTTTCTTCGTTTTGGTATCGACTGTCACCATAAAAACTTCTTTTTGGTTGGGATTTGTGTTTGGGTCTGTTTCTGGTTCTAAGATTAGGATTGGTTCACCTATTTCAGAGATACAATTATTTCTTATATGAATAATATAGCTTTTCTGTAAAAAATTACCAGCACATTTAAAACGATTCCAATCCTCTGCGGTTTGAGTCCCTGCAGTTGCTCTAGTATTATTTCCAACTACTTTCTCAGCATTCGCATCCTCTTGGTTGGGAATATTGGGGAGAGCTGCAGCTTCCATTTCGCTTTGAATTTTTTTATTGAGAGGTAAAAGTTAATGCTTAAACCTCAGTCAAGTATATGAGAATGCCTAAATAGACAGGCAATCCATATAGTCTGGGGATTTGCTAAAAAGCAACGCCAACTATTTCGATATATTTTACACAAGAAAGGATAAAAAATCATCTATTTCCAAATACTATCTGTTTCTGCATAAAAATCCTTAATGCATCTTAAAGCAAATACTTGTATCTCTGTGATTGACACTTGGCGGTTAAGTGATTGATGATGCAATTGCATAATGCAGCAACCCCGATTTCTGTTCTTTAGTGGCAGGGATTAAACTTTAGCCCAGCACTTGGCATAATGCCAGTGCCAATTAGACGAAAGTGCCCCGTTTGTCCCTTCATCCGACTGTCTAAAGCTCGTAAATTTCGACCTACACACGGCGGGCACTTGACAGTCCCCAAATGAAAGAGAGAGAAAAATTCAAAATTTTTGGAGGAAACGCTGGCATTTGCCAGATGTCAGACATATGGCGGCATAATTTATGCGTACATTGAACCGAAGGGCTCTACTGCTGCCGTGGCGATGAGTGCAAAGTTTGCGGTTCGCTGCTGTTGCATTTAAATTCTGACAAATACCGGGATTGTCCTGGCCGGGCAGCACGTCTACAGCATTGTTTAATTCCGAATCCGCGCCATCGACCGCTGCCACCGATGCATGCTTCTTAATTGACCCACATTTGTGATCGGTGTACATAATTAAAAGAAAATAAAGGGCGTGCGAAACAAAATAAACCAGCACGCACACCGTCCTCTCTGTCATAGCAATAATAATAAAAATAAAAAATAACATGGTAATGGAAAAACATACATACTTGTGCATTATAACATGGCCAACGTTGGCTATTAAAATACCCTTTATAATTTATTTAGTTAAAACTATGCCTCTGGTATAAAGGTTTAATTTTTAACTCAAAAATGCATTGTACAATTCGTAATAATTTTATCACAAAATTTATTTTGAAGTAAGTCAGTGTTAAAATGTGGCACTTCTTCTTTTTAAAACACCTTGTCACTTTTTATTTGGCAAGTGAAATGACAACAATGGCCAAATAATGCATATTAATTGCGACTTTTTCACGTTTTACCAAGTGGCAGCATTTATCAGGCATTAATAATTACGTGTTAATACGTGAAATATGATTAAATTTTTATCAGTTTACATGAATCACTTTCGCACGTTTGCGCCGCACTGGTCTGCAGAGCCCAGTGGATCCAGATGCGTGCAGACAAGGTCCTTTTATTGGCTTCATTTGGCCAGCGGACCGCAGCGAAACTGACAATCGCACAATCGGAATTACAATCGTTCGGGGGGTCTGTGTGTGATGTGCGATGCCTGTGGTTCTGCATCATTCGGCATCTATAGTGTTATATTCCACACAAGCCAACAATGCCAAGCCTTTGCTTTGGATATTTGCATGGGGCGACTCGGTTCTGGGTGGCGTTCGTAATACACTGCGTATACGCAATAAAAAATGTGAAGGCAGAATGGAGAAAGGAAAACGAATGGCCTGAACCGCATGGACTGGCCATTAAATGCAACAATAAATTCGGAAGTTGAGTCGCGGACGAGTCCGTTGGAATGCCCGAAATTTAATTAGTTGGCATTTAACATTAAACATTTCGAGTGTCCTCGCCACTTTCTGGCGCCGCGGCTGTCATTGTGCTTGACTCTTGTTTTGCTTTTTATGTTATTTTTCAGTTAATTAAACGCACGCTAACATTTCGCCATTCTAAATTGTGCACAATTAAATTTGGAATTACTTTCGACTAAGCATTCGGCAGCAAAGAGTCGCGGCGCGGCAATAACTTAACTGGAAATTTTATTGTGAGCCCCCGCCTGGCCAACTGTCACTTTTGATGGCCAACCATTGGAGCGTAATTAGGCTTACACCCGTTCCTCTCTCTCTGTTCCTGCCAAACATTCCAAGTTGCTAACGCAACTTCCCCTCGAAAAGTTAACGCAAAAAGTTAACTTTAACTTTTCCTCTCGGCAAGCCTTTAAGTTGTTGTTTAACTTCGTTTGTCTGTCACTGAAAATTGCACTGTCTGCCCGTTTTATTATGCAAAATGCAATAGTACACACGCCCATGTGAAGAGGTTGCTTGTCTTCGTTATGAGTTTCACGGCAGCTCAGAGCTGCCCGGATGGGAATGGATCTTTTGGGCAGAGATGATGGCCAAATACTCCCACATCGGCTTCAATGGTGGTCCATAATACTCTAAGAAAAAGTTCTTTCCACTTAAAGCTTACGGAAATGTACATATACATTGTTTTTATTTTAATATATTTAATTTTGTTTTAAGCCACTTCATTTAATTACAAAATATAAAATTCTTTAATAAACTATTTTCTCTATGCCTAGGTTTACAGGGTGCTACACACGTCTCCTTGAGAAAAAGTACAGACACCTGAGACTCCTTTTATATATTTTTTATATCACCTGCATACAAAATCTGTGAAGGCGGGCCATTCGAGTCTGTCTGCCGTCTGCCTGCCAAACGTCGTCGTACGAATATAATATTTATATTATTGCAACTGCGGCGCCACATTGAAACGACATGAAATGTTTGGAGTGGCATAAAAACCAAACACTTCGAGCACTCCCACGAGGATGCAGCTCCTTTACGCCTTTTTCTTGCAGTCTAGGTTTTTTTTACTTTTTTCGGTTACGTCGCGTCTTTCGGATAATCGTCAGAATCACGATCACCACGACTGCAACCAGCAGCACAATAATCGCAACGGTGAGAGCCATACAGGCTGGTGTACTGCCCAACTCAAAGGTCGTGAACAATGTCGAAACAATAGTAGAACCCGATAGTTTTTTGTACTTGGTATATTCTGTATAGAAGGTTATAGAAACACAGTTGGCGATCGCCAGAATCAGCAGAATAGTAACCAGCTGAAAAGAAGGGATATATTCGAGAGTATTTATACAAATCCACACCCACCACAAAGCGCATGTGCTGACGGGTCCTGGCGTAATTCGAATGGTAAAAATATATGCTGGCGGCATGGAGGAGGCACGAGAAGGCGGTTCCCACACAGACGACCTGCTGGAACAGCTGCTCAACACTGACGTGCAGGGGCAATATATTCACAAAGACCGTCGCATTTAGGATACTTAGTATCTGGGGGTTCAGAAGGGTCAGAAATGGCTGAGGTGGCCAGGTGTAACTAACCGCGGCAATGCTGAGCAGTATCGATATGATTTCCTTACGGGAGAGCTTCATAATGGATCCTTTAACTGGGAATTTGAATAAAAAAGCAGTAACTGAAGTTAATATCAAAGAATGTTATGGGCCCATTTAGGTGAACATCTTTTTTTCAGATATTAATATTATTCCCAATGAGAGAAACATATGTTTTTTGTTTCAAAAATAAATTTTACATTTTTACTTAAAGAAGCATTGAAGTCCCTTTGAAGGACATACGTGTATACAAGTTTCTATTACCGTCACTTCAAGAAAATCCTTTATCTGAAATTTAGTTTACACTCTAGTTGTTAGGCGCTTAATGTGTATTTACGCATTCGTGCGATAATGTGGTAATTATAGAAACAATATCGGTTGCACTCCGGCTTCCACTTGATCGATTGCCACCCCGGGTCACCCTTGCCGGAGCTTGTTGCCCGCTAGGCAAGGTCGTGGGCGCTATCTTCCTGGGATGACGGCCTATTTGATGAGCACAAAATCATTCAGAACAAATTGAAATTTCCACCCGTCGAGGAAGCTTATCTCACCAGAGCAGCCACTTGCACTAGGACTCCATCCCTGGGATCTGCGAGCCGGCAACCGGCGCTAATTCATCAACAGTAAAGGCAATTTAGATACTCATCTAGCCGGATATCGACAGCCAGGCAGCAGGCGGCAGCAGCAGCAGGCAGCCATGTAAGCAGATACTTTGGTCCTCCTCCTCGAAGGCCTCCAACCCGTTTCTGCGGCTCCCCAGCAAAGCGGAGCGTCCTGCAGACAGGGTTTCATAAAATATTGATGGACGTGGAGTTGGCAGCGCATACCGGCTTCCTGTTCGTGTCTGTCGCAGCCATAAATAATTTGCTGTAAATGCAATCGTGGGGTTACACGATGTGGCATGGTGGCATGGAGTTTTGTGTGGTATCGTTGGGGGTGTCCGAGGCTGGCTGGGGGTAGTTTCTGAGGGGGAGGTTGTACGATGCTAATGGCAAGGCACACGGTGCGAAAGTGTTCCGTATGAATTATTCGCTGGCAACCAATTTGGAGTCACGTTTGCCAACACAATTGAAACTGAACGCCGGCCATCGAACAGCGGCGGTGATGGTCCTTCAGTGTTGCTTATAATTTTTAAAGTTAAAGTCGCTTACCTGTAACAACTAAACTTTAAAATTAAAAGCTGTATATATTTAAATTTAATTTATTTAAAGAAACTAATAAGTATGCAACATATATTACTTTGATAAATTACCTGAAGACTCTGGGGCCTAGATCCGTTCATCTTATTGTTTTAAAAATATTTATTGATATGCCCTCAAAAAATAAAATTTTTAAAAATTACCATATTTTTGGCTATAAAAAAGCCAATACGGCTGAATTCCTTCTCCACCCTCTTGAAAGGCCGTAATTTGTTTTGTCTGCCACTGTAGCCGTGTATCCATGTCTATCTTCGGGACGGGGCTGGTTTTTAATAGCCATTCGACTGTTGCTCGGCTGTTGCTGTTGTGTTGTGTTGTGCTGTTGTGTTGCTTGTGCCTTTATCGCCGGACCGCCTTCCTCCGCCGGCAGGGTAATGTGTATTTAATGACCCCATCTCATGTACACGCCGGCCCATAATGCCCCCGTCCGCACGTCCGTGATCCTGGCTTGTCCTTGCCGAGGGCCAACGCACCGGTGGTCCTTCTCTAGGGCCAGCGCCTAATGTCCGGTGACCGCAGCCATCTGCAGGATAACGCCCCGGCTCCTCGATTACGGGTGCCAATAAAGCAGCGCAGAGGGAGCACCGCCTGCTGGTGAGCATTTCAATTTCGTGCCTGCATTTCTTTTTTTTTTCGCTTATTTTTTATTTAATATTTTTAAAGCGATGGCCATAAAAACGTGAGCGGTAATGTGCGGACAAGGCAGTTTAATTGCGCCCCCGGCCCTAAGGGCAATCAGCTCCTGCTTGTCTCAGATGATGATGGGATAGCTTTCAATGAACATAAACAATAATTGAATTTAAGTCCCTACGCCAGAGCCCAACAATTGCATACTTAGTGTTGATCGTCAAAGGGAAACTAATAATTATGGCATTGGGAATAAACGTTTATATTATCTTAAGCGTTAGTTTCAAGCATTACGAGGACTCTTTGAAACCAAACAACTTATTAGAAAGTAAATCCCTTTAAAGTTTAAACGTACGCACACCCTCTATAGTTATCCTGTCATTATTGTAACATTTGTTTATTAAGGGAGGATAATAAGTGTTCCTGTTCAATAACTGGGCTGAATGGCCCTTCCTTTCAAACAATTGCACCTAATTGTAGGCATTTGAGCAAAGCTTTGTCCCACCGACCCTATATTCTATATATATCAACCAGACATCCACTGCACACCCCCTGGTTCGATACAATTTCCATTCAGTTTGCAGCCCAGCAAAGAGAATATTATAAGAAGGAAAAAATAATTTGCATAAAGCTTTTAACCCAACGCACAACATTTGCTTTTTATGTGATTCATGGTGCCCATTCCTTTATCAATTTTCTTTTTAAAAAGGAATGAAGTGCAACAATGTTCGACCTCCCCCCGACCCACTTCCGCACAATTATACAGCAATTTTTAACGCAACAATCACATTCAATGACCATCCTGTGGGGGGGCGAGAGTGATGCTCCCTGTATCTGGTTGCATGGACGATTGCCTCGAGGCCAGAGTTAGGGTTTTCGATTCCGACATCGACTTGGTCGCTTAAGCAGATTGAAACAATCTCCGGAGTGGGTAAAAGCTTTCACTGCCCCCAGCTCGAGTTGCCAAGGAGGAGTTTTTCTTGGCTTTTCACTGCCATTATTATTATGCTGCTCCGCCTGGTTCCTTCCTTCCGCTGCCTGCAACTGTCGGTTGGGCAATTTATAATGAAGTTTCCTTATTGACAGTGGCAGCTCTGCCAAATTCCCAGCCCCCCGGTTTTGTTTCGCGTTTCCGCTGCACTGATTTCGCTGCAACGGAGCATAAATTATTGATGTCGTGGATATTCGGAGTCCGATACTCTGAATAGATATATCGCAATAAATTGCTTGTCAAGTCGGTCGGTCGACAAGCGGCCAGCTAACTAAGACGCCGGCAAACAAATAACAATCAAAATCACTTTTCGACCCCAAGTCGATTTATATGGGTCTCGGAAAATCTGGGCATCGGAGCCTTAATCGCTGAGGCCAGCCGCATCATGAGATCGTCAATCGTTTTGATTTATTGCCATTTTATTTGCGCATATCCTTATTTGCCTGGTGTCGACTTATGGCCCCAACTGCCATTCGTGTCCGAACTCCAATCTGTGGGGCCCACTGAAGGCTACTTTATTGTTCGATAAGCTATCAGGGGTAAACAGCGAGTGAGCGCCTCAGAAGATGGCAAATATCATAATTTTCGCAGGACACGCCGGCCTGTGTTTGCTTTCAGCCTGTCACAATGCCTTGCAGGGCATAAATCTAAATTAAATGCCTTTTTGAGCGTCTTCCCGGCCGCCTTGGCAGAAGGAGGCAAAGGAAAGGAGCCGCAAAAGGAAAATGTTTATATTCAGCACATTGTCACTTGTTGTGGCCAACTTGGATTCCGGATTCTGGACAGAAATTCCGCTGGGAACTGTTCAGTGGCCCGGGCAAATAAATATTAATCATTGTGTAATAATTTTCTGCTGTCAGCTAAATTCAAGCAAAGTATTCATAATCCACAAGTAAGAACCGCTTTTGACAAATCGTTTTGCGGCCCCACCGCATAAATATTTTTATTTATATATGTACTTTCCAGCCAGTAGCCGGCCGGCAGTTAAAATGCTTTTAAAGTTGTTGCCAAAGTTGGACGTCAGTCGTTTATTTGATTTCACCAAAAGCAGTTTCCATTTGTTTTATTCTCTGCTTTTTTTTTCTTCAGCGCCAAGTTTTCGCAACTGTAAATCAGATCCTTTGATGTTCGCAGGACCTGCGAAACGAGATTGCAATAATCAAAATGTAATAAACAGGCGGATGGGCGAGGCTTTTACACATTCTCCGTACGGATGATGAAACCGCTTTCAACTCCTTGGGTCAAACAAAATGTTGTTTATGCACGGGTCCTTTCTACGTGATGGTGTGCGTGTGTGTGTGTGTGCCAGCTCCTCATTTTGTCCTTTGTTTGGCCGTTAGTATTCGATGCACGTAACGCATTGTTTGAATTTCATGGCGACTTTATGAGTTTTGTAATCAGGTTTGCGAGCAAACAGACCCAAACCCGAAAACACATCGCAGGAGGATGTGTGGAAGTCGTGTTAACCTGCACATAAATATTGTTTCTGGTCGTGGGCCATGTTGACAAGGAAAAGGACCCAGGGACGCCCAACCGCCTGTTAATGCTAATGAAAGCCGAGCGGTTTTCTCTCAGTTTTGGGGTGCCCTAGCCTATTAAGCCATTTTGTGGTCTGCAAAATCCACTTAAAACGTCTGGCGGCAACAAAAATATTTTATTGCATACTTTTATGCGCAGACATTACCTGCACCGCTCCGTTCCGCTCTTCTCGCACCTTGCAATCACAAAAATGCTCAACAATGTGATTTATACACGTTGGAAGCACTTAAAACTAGACATACACTTTCACAATGGACTGGCCACGCCTACTACGAAAAAAACGCCCACTTTTGTTGTTTGGCTGCCACTTTGGAACTCATCCAAAGCTTAGTCAGCACACAGGAAAAAAAAACAAGTTTTTATTTGAAATTCAATAAAGTGAATTATTAGCTTGAGTGTTGTATTTTATTTTCAGAAAATATATATTTTGTTCTGCGAAAAATTTTAACTTTCTTTGATCCAAAGTAACACAACGTTTAAAGCTTTTACGGGGTACAATATTTTCCACTGTGCATAGTCTTTGTCTGGCACTCAACAATAGCCTCCCTGCAGCTGATGACCAGAAATTAACTAAGCAGCAATAGAAGCAGCAACTATGTAGCCAAGCCCTAAATAATACTTGTGGCAGACTAGCTGAAACCCCCTAAAAGGCAAACAAGTACTGTCACCACCTCCGCCCCCTGATTGGAAGGTTTGCATGTCTGGCTATCGGCTGTCCACTACGAAAGCATTAAATAAATATTTGCTATGCTCTGCAGGAATTTTGAGACCCCAATCCCCATCAAACATCCAGGACTCGACTGGATGAGCAAAAAAAAATATTCTAAATATCATATCATCAGCATTTTTCGATAGACTCGCCCCGGACACGAGCCGTTGGGGTATGAGGTTTTTGGGATCGTCCAGTGTTTGCCATTTATTTTTTGATTTGGGTATTTAAGGTGTAGATGGTTGTGTGCGAGGAGCGTGGGCGGGCGTGCATGTCCGAGGGTGTGTGTCAGTGTACTTTTGGTGACCGGAGAATGGTTGTTTAGGCAGGAGAGTGTTGACAACTTAAGTGGAATTTTGCTTGCTCGAGCGTTGCAAGCTTTAGCTTTTATCAGATGACATTAAAATTGAATGAAGGACAGTTATTAGTTGAGGTCGATAGGATGTTTGCTCTTTATCAGCCAAAGTATTTAACAAAGAAAAGAGTTGGGCTATCAACTGTAAAGCGTTTATTATGTATATGTCCACCTAACCTAAGTCTTCTTGCGGACATGATGATCATACAATATCATATATCCATAGATTGGAGACTTGATCATAAAGCGTCTTACATTGTGGCTAAAGGGATGCTTTTTACTGGTAACCGGAATGTTTTTATGATCGCCCTTGTGGGTAAACATTAGTCCATGCTCTGGATGGGAGACCACCGTGTAGTTGTCATTGTCATTCGCAAAAATTTTCCTGGTTCGCCAATCGTAGAAGACTATATCACTTTGTTGGGGTCTAAGCAGTTTTTTCTCCTCGAAAACGGCTTTCCAGTCCACAGAATTTGGCCCCTTGAACCTGAAATTACGCAAACTGGCTTCGAAGTCAATATAGCCAGACTTGGAGAAGCCACTCCTGCCACTTATCTCCAAGAAGATAATGGTCTGAAACAAATTTTTCTTCATAAAGTAAACTAAGCGATATACCTTTATATACCAACCGATATCTCCTGCTGGACATTGACATGTTCCCGTTGAACTAATGCAGCCAGAGCTGGATCGGTTCCTTTGAAATACTGACTGTAGTAGGTTATGGATGAGACGGTCGGATTTAATAATTGCTCCACCTGTTTCTTCACACTCAAGAACTCGTCCTCCTCATAGAAACTTCTGTGTTCGCGATATCCTAGTTTTGTGAGTGTTTTGACAGTCTTGTGACAAGGCAAGTAGCGAAAGTCCTGGACGGTGGTGAAGGAGTGCAGATACTCCTGGTAGTTGTTGAACTTTATGATGCTAAAGTCTGTCATCTTGATACCGTGTTATTGTTATTAGTTTTTATATGAAAGTAGTTTTGTGTGAACTGATTGATAAGTTCAGGTCTCCTTTTCAATAAATAAGTTTTCTTAAGCAAATAAAGTTAATTTCAACAATATGCTACGGCATTCGATTAGGACACCACAAATTCGGATCAAGCACGTTCTGACCTCGACCACAAATTATGAAATAGTTGAAATAATCCCCTTTATGAAAATGTAGATTTTGTGGAATTTTTTAATATATTTCGGTTGAGTTTTGCAAGTTGTGGGAGCATTTCATTTGGCGCATTATTAAAATACCACAATGGATGAAAATGTGCATTTATTTATTTATTTTATTTGCCATAACCAGCAATCAAATGGGGGGTTTCGTGTCCGAAAAATTCCACACACCGACAATATATTCGTTTCTTAACAGGCATGTGTTGGAGATATTAAAATTATCCCTGACATTCTGCAAAAAGGATACGGAGATGGTGAAGATTTGAGAGCCGAAAGTTCACTATCCTGTTGTTTGGACTTTAAAGTCATCAACACTTTCACTAATGACGAAATTTCCGCCAGAAAACGCGTTTATAAACAATCCTGCAGCTGAAATAACAATAACAGAAATGGCCAACGTACTTCACATTTGAATTTCAAATAATTAACTTAAATGCTAATTAGTTGAATTATCAATAGGCAGGCACTATACACATCCGATGGCGACTATTTATTGACATTAAATCGACACGCAGCACGGCCACGCACGGCCATTATGTTAAGGGGGCGCGGCAGTCGATGTTTATGGCCCAGTGGGCTTTGTCAGTGATAACTAGAATGTGTTTTAGCTGCATAAATCCTCATTCGGGCTATGGGTTCTGCCAGGCATTTAAATATATATCAAGTGGCTGGCCTGATACTCGCTCTTATTTACATGGCCCGCACACCCGGACAAACACACACGTTTGTGGCCATCAACAACTGCAATATCAGCAAGTTCTCGGCGTGTGTAATTTAAGGCCTCGATATAAATCATCAGGACACCCAACGCTTTCTCCCGTCCACCCTCCAGTCCCCATCCTCACACACTCAGACAATTTTGTAAAACACTATGCGAGTGTCCTTTCCTTGGCTTCCGCGCTCGACTTGGCATGTGTTGAATAAATTTATTGTTGTGCATAATGCTGGCCCAAGATCGCAAGCGTAAAAAATTGCTATTATGAATATGAAGTGCATTGCATTTAAGGAGCGCCGCTGCCAGATGACTTCTCATATGCGAGAGTGTCTGACTGATGACTGCGTTTAAGGACACGATGTGTCACCATTCACCCACTACCAGTCAGCAGTAAAAGCTTCGTAATTATGAATATTAATTGCAGTGTAAGAGCACAAAATGCCATCACACCCGAGGCGGGGGCGTGAGCCAATTCCTGCGAAGCTATGCAAATATACGCAAAACTAATGGTGCAAAAACAGAGTCTATGAATAAATCACAGAAGATTAAGTCCCAAATGATGTGAAAAGGGATAAAAGCGCAAAAGTGTCCATCTCCCCAAACAAAACACACGCACACAAAAAACCAACGACAAGGCTAACGCCATGGAGAACCTAAACAAATAGGGCCAAAAAGTATTGCTGTAGAAAGGGATACGACCGAGGCATAAAAAACACATACAGTTCATATCTGGCTAAATGCAAGTCTTCATTAAATTTGCATATGTCGATATTTCTGGGCAAGCCACCAGGGCTTTTGAATAAATAAGCTCACATCAAAAGAGCTCACTGGGATTTGTGTATGACGGATGGAAATATCAGCAGCCCAATTAAAATTCCTTATGTAAGACTTTATTTCATATAGAATTTTACAACTTGTTATTGGGGCAGCAATAAATTTCACATCGATTTTCCAGTGAACTTATTTTATGGAACTCACTTTACGAGTACGACTAAATTCAATTTCATGTTCGTATCGTATGTACTTGCTGCTTTTTCTCTAATTATTTGCCAAGTGCGTCAGCCAACTTTACCATTTCTATGAACGAGTGCACTTCAGAGTTTAAGCGCCAAGTGTTACATGTCGTATACGTAATTTTTCATTTTGTACCAGATTCAGGAGGCACACCCAGTATGTCTGTGTATCCTCCTCGCCCGCCCCTACCGACTGTCATGTTTTACACGCCCGAGTGTGCGTAGTTCGGAGTGCTCTTTTTTTGTGCCCTGTTGATGTTTAGTTTTTAGACAAGCCGGCAAATATATTTGAATTTTATGCAAATTTTAATTGCTTTACTTTGCGATGGAAATTTACGACCACCACAGAAAAGACCTACGCCACCACACAAAAAATCAAACAAAGCCTCAGCCAAAGGGGAAAGGAATCATCTGCATAAATATTTTAGTGGTGCTAAAATAAATAATAGCCATTCTCGGTGGTTAATTCACGTCGCTGTCGGCAATTAGCCAAGAAGTCAATGGGCCATCCGAAAAAAAAAGTTCGTTTTTATGGCCCTTGCTTCTTGGATTTTCCTTAGCCGGATAAAATGTTATGTCCGGTTACGAGCTCCCCAAGGACTTGCGAAAAGTTTGAAATTAATTCGCCAAAATCACTCAAAAGGATAGCCCCGGCTTCGCAGCAACACATGTGTCCGTTCAGCGCACTCCACTCAGCATTTCCGTTTCCTTTTTTCCTTCTGCCACTTGGATTTTTAGGATGGCCAGACAACTGACTAAACTGAGTTGCTTATTTGATTTGTACTAGTTGACTCGAGTGCCCTTTTAATGGTCTCCTAATGGCAGATCTTGACATTTTTATCGCTATCAGTTTAGACAGCTTCTTAAATAATTTATTCTATTTATAAATGATTCTTAAATACTTGAAATACAATATGGCACATTAAAGAACACACTTGACTGTGTTAAATTTTATTGCTCTCGAGTGAGGCTTGATATTAAAATAACATATTGCAGAAAGTAATATGTACATATCGAAATCCTAAGCCAATTTTCCGGGGGCGTTTCCATGCAGTTGTTACTTTTTACGAGCGCCAATTTCTGCTACATTGACAGAAATGCGCATAATAATCAAAATGCTTTTTACATTTCCGTTGCAAAGGAAGTCATAAATAAGCCAAACGCTGACGGGGCAATCCCAGGACCCTGCGCCTTCATTGTCCTGTTTCCCCGCCCACTTTCTGCTGCATCTGCGTCGCCACAAAGGGCGCAAATCAAGTTATTACGGCCCATGGCTGGACTTTCCGACTTGGCCAAGTGTGCGTCACATATGGCGAACATAAATAGCTCCATAGCCCCGGCACTTTTCACCGACATGGCGGACGGGCTGACTGGATGGTTGGATAGCTGCCTGACTGGCTGACTGGCTGGATAGCCGCCTGGCTACAAACTTTCTTTATGCGCTTTCCATGAACATTTCGTGGCAGGTTTATGTATTTAATGGACTTTGCACAACTTTCTTTTTCTTTGTCCGCTCCCTTGTTCGATGCTGGTCCTTTCTTTTTGGCAATCACCCGAACGTCTGCATTGCAACTTGTAAAGCCTGGGTCGCATTACGTCCATTGGCAAAGTTTTGTGACGCCAGCATTTATAACCGGTTTCGCGTCCATTTTAATTATTAGCCCTTTCCAAACACATGCGTGGGATTTTAGTGTCAATTATGCATTTGTGACGGCGCCACAGCATCCATTAATGGTTCCATGCAGTTTATATCTTGGTTTTCAGGCAAACAAAGCAATTACTTATTTATTTACACTCCTACAGCTTTTCAGAAAACTATTTAATGGTATGCTAGTACAGGGCTCCCATGGAAAACAGTACTTGCCAGAGGAAACCAACTCTTTTTATGTGCTTGCCACGAATAGCCTTTCACCGTGAACCTTGACATTTCCACCCACTCGGATTTACCTTGAACTTTAACTAGGAAAACGAAAACAGACAGAAACGAGGCCTTTTGTTGGCTCACTTAAAAAAAAAACTCTTTTGAATAAGCCCTTTTTATGCGGGTCGCTGGTTTCTGAAAAGGCCACGAGTTAAGCCAACATTCACGGGCAAATATTTTCCACTACTAAGGAGTCCTCGAGGCGTCTGGCAAAATTGTGTGAATTAAGCCAAACAACTCGGGCATGTGAAAATATCCTTTCCTCAGCAATATTAATATCGCCGCTTGCAAATCCGAATACATGCACTTGCCAATTTCCACAAAGTCAGCACCACCGACAAGGCGGAGGTCCTGGCTGGCAGCCTCTGCATGGAAAACACGTCGTCAGGCAGCAAAAAGCCAACACTAGGATGGCATTCAACTGTCGCCATCCAGATCCTGCCTCCGGCAACTGTTCTCGCAACATTATTAAAATGTTGTCATGAATGCAGTACAAGTCGCTACGCAGTTGCAGTATATTTCATATTTACAGTAGCATACACATAAGCTAGAAGTCCTGTAGCCACAGCATCCCAAGGACCAATAAAAGGGAAATAAGTTCAGTATTTCTTTAATAGACTAATAGTTTATATTTTTAGATCAACAAACTTTATTAAAGGACGCAAAATTTCATTGTAGAGGTGAGGGGTAAAGCCTTAACTACATCTGCAATACAATTGCTTGAAGTCATATTTATTCAGATGATTTCAGATCTGAGCTTTCCAGCTTCATTGGTTAAACAAAGTATTGTATGATTGGTTATAAACAGCAGAGATATTATTGACCATTTACTGCCCCAGTGAAGTCTATACAAAAATCGAACCGAAATGGAAAAGTATCAACAAGCGCTGACAGCCACGACAACGACACTTATCGAATGCGAAATTGATGAGCTAGGCAAATGACAGTCCGGCTGGGACTTTGGTTCACGTTCCTCGTTCTCATCAAAAATCCCACCCCATCGTTCCTTATCTTCTGGACATCCTCCCACTCCTCGCGGTAATGAAGGCCCGGCGGACTGTATTCGATAAATTCCCCGAATTCGTTCTGACTTAAAGTCAATAAAAGTCCACTTAAGGCTTCATTGTTGCCCGCTTCGGCAAGGAGTTGGGGCATCCTGGTGCTGCTGCTGATGTTGCTGCTCCT